TCCATCCATCCATCCATCCATCCATCCATCAATTTATTCAATTTTCTTAACATTTTCAGTGGGATCTTGTCTGTAAGAAAGCCTCATTGGCAAGTTTGGCAAACTCTTTGCTATTCATAGTATGGCTGTTCGCTTCCTTGTTGTCCAGTGTTTTGAGTGATAAATACGGCAGAAAGGCAGTTATATTTCCATGCAGTGTCTTTACCTGCATCTGTGCATTGGCCTCGGCATTTGCCCAGCGTTACTGGGTGTTTGCACTCTTTAGAGCACTGGCTGGCGTCGGGATAGGTGAGTGAGGAGATGGAATTTCGTTTCACAACTAATTCATAAAGTCACTCGTGACCAGTAATTCCGGGAAGTCAAATGTAATTCATTTAACAAACAAAAAAAAAAACAGTAAAATAATCAAGTTTTGAACCCGCTATCATGAATGATTATGAAATATTTTCAAAAAGCTTAGAATTCACTTCCCAACCACACATTGCTGAGAATTACCTTGAATATCTTTAGCTGTTAAAATATAAATGTAAATAAATAAATAAATAAAAAGTAGTATGGATTGCCGGAGTTTTGATCGTAGTTGGCACCTAGACTTGGAGTTWGAGACAAAACCGCCGAGTCCAATCGAAACGTGGTCACGCGTGACGTGAATATAATTAGCTGCAACTGCTTTATTTCATTGCTGGATGATATAACAAAAGAATTCATTGACAATTCCTTTGTTAAATTCCTCCAAGACGGCGTCTATGACGTCATGTGTAAGCGAAAAATAGCATCAATTCAGACGATATTCTGGAAATTTGACTCATAGTCTAAACAGTACCACAGTTTGCCATACCACAGATTAACAAAATAACTTTTGGTTTGTCTAGGTACAACAGAATTTATTTTTATCAACGATATTTTGATATATTTCAGGTGGATACCTAGCACCTTCATTTGTGTTGGTGACGGAGTATGTTGGCGTTCGTCATCGCGGTGCTGTCGGCTTCGGGATATGGTTCGCCTGGGTGTTAGCTTTGATGTTGTTATCGTTGCTAGGATACCTTATCCATAGTTGGCGTTTCCTCACTGTTATCATCAGTGCACCAGGAATGTTGTACTTTCTATTCTGGTGGTAGGTAGCACTACCTTCTTCCCAGATTGTTTTTTTGATTATTATCTGATTAAGTTAAGGTATTCTTTGTTATTAACTTTTATTAACGGCGCTAGTGGAAAGGGCCCGTGAGGATCTGAGACCGAAACTAATGACGGCGGCGGCGGAGGAGACTAAATACGTACCAAAAAAATGTTTTGATTTTTGATTTTATTTAATGTTTTGTCTTTGTTTTGTTTTTATTGATGGAAAGTTGGGTTGGTTAAGTTTTTTTTGTTG